GCATGCATGGCAGCGGCACCCTGAGGCGCGCGCACGCACTGCGCGGCAGTCATAGGCAGCAGCACGCACCGTGCGTCAGCGGCACCATGAGCCGCATGCACGCACCCGGCAGCAACAGCAGAGCGGGGCCTACACGATTGCTCATAGGGGTGGGCCCACCCTTATCTGGACACATCAAGAGAACTCGCCGCTAGCCTACCTTATCCCTTATCCTCATCCCTTATCCTTATCCCTTATCTTATCTTATCCTTATCTTATTTTATCTTCTTAAGTAAGAGTTATGAGTTTTAGTTTGAGTAGGAAATTAGGAGTTTTAGTTTGAGTTGGATTACCCTAGCCTAGCCGAATCCAACAAGGAATTCCCTTCTGTAATCTCCTATTTAAGGAGCTACGAATTGAAATAAAGTATTCAGTTTTCCAGTCAAGAAAATAGTGAGGAGAGTTCGGGTGGTCTCTTCGGCAAATCACCCCAAGGGAGAGTTCGGGTGGTCTCTTGGACAAATCACCCATTCGGTTTCCATAATAGAGTCTGCACGCAAGGGAAGGCGCAAGGGAAAGTAGGGCTTTTGCACCGTGGACCGACCCGTGATGGGATCCTACGCGCGGGACCGTAACAGCGTCCATGATGGTCTTGTTTGCTTTAGTCAATTCATTGTAGAATGTCTGAAGCTGGAGCAAAACAGGAAGTCCATGATGAGGGACCTTCCTCAATAATTCCTTGTAGCGCTCCCATGACTTATATAATGATTCCCCGTCCTGCTGAGTGAAAGTTGTAATGTCATTCTGCATCTTTGCAGTCTTGGATGGAGGGAAATACTTGGATTGGAAGCGGCTGGCCATTTCATCCCAAGTTGAGATCGATCCAGCTGGTAGAGAGTCGAGCCAAGTCTTAGCCTCGTCCTTCAAAGAAAAAGGAAATAATCTGAGTCTCACAGCATCATCACTAACTCYGTTGTGTTTGAATGTGTCACATATCTCCAGGAAGTTAGCGATGTGAGTGTTGGGGTCCTCATTAGCCAATCCACAGAACTGAACCATGTTCTGAATCATCTGGATGATTGCCGGTTTGATCTCAAAGTTGTTGGCAACTATAACTGGTCTCACTATGCTCGAGGCTGCCTCGGTGAGGGTTGGCTTGGCATAGTCCATCATGGTCCTTTGCTCAGCCTTCTTCTTTCTTTCAAGCTTTCCTTGCTTCAAAGCTCTAAGGTGACGGTGAAGAGTTTGGTTAATCTCCGGATCGTAGATGATGCTCTCCTTCCCACTACTGCGTGTCATATACTGAACGAGTCAAAGTCGTAAAGATACTATAACACACACAACATGGATATATTATACCAAATCAGATTAACAATAGTAGATGATTCCTAATATTGTTGTGATAATCCCCGACAACGGTGCCAAAAACTTGATGCGTTTAGAACTACACTAGCAAGTGCACTACCCGATCAAGTGATATACTGATGAGTAAAGTATCATTCCCATGAGGATTAATCCAACAACTACTAGTACTTAATCTGCCTTATGTTATCTGATAATCCAAAAATTAATGAATTATTTCCTAATTAGCTAACTATCCTAGGTGCTCTCGAATTAAACCACCCTAATTGAATGGAGACAGCAATTCATGAAAACTCAATTGATCGCAGAATCAGTTCATTAATTATCACATTAAACTATCCAACCGAAGTTGATTTTAGTTATGGGTTGGCAATTTCCTTATTGTTATGAACAGTCTCTTTCGAGCACATGGTAATCTATCTACAAGTAATAACCCTTATATCTCTATCAAGAGTTTAATTACTGTAGATGCATTAAAGACAAGAAAATTGAATGATATCAGTTCTTGCTGAATGAATGCCAAACGAATCATGTAAATTATCTATAAGATACATTCAATTTGCTCCCTTGATCAGCTAGTCCGATTACCTAAACCCTTTCTCAAGCAGTATAAGTAATCTCAAGAAATAAGAGCAAATCGGCCRAAATTACTCTTAATATTGAAAACCCTAATCAATAAATCCCAATAACTGAATAACTATCAATCGGATTAGCTTGAAAGATTGATCACAAAACTTAAATAACATCAATCATGATTCGCATGGTAGAAAGAATAAAAGACTCAAACAAAAGAAAACCCTAGTTGAACCTAGGTTACCGAAATCGTTGAATTAAAGAAGAAGACAACCTAAAACTTTTGCATGAAATCTCGATCTCCTCTCTAATTCTCCTTCGGAAGCCTCGTGATCTTTCTCCCAACACTTCTCCTTTTGTTCTTGTGACAAGAAGTCGAACCCCAATTTCTTCCTTTTCTTTTTCTTTTATACTCTTTCTTGCAGCTTTAGAGTCCTACTCCTCTTCGAACTCTGCTAAAAGTAATTGCCACCTGGAGTCTCCCCGATAACATGTGGCTGTGCCTCTATTCTCCTAGGCCGAAGTGCTTCTTTGCAGCAATATCACCATGTCTTCCTGCTTTATCAACCCCAAACTATTCCAAACTCCTATTTTCCTAAAATTCAGCTCAATTAGGGCAAGAACCATTAAAATTTATCATAAAAACCATATATGAGACAGTAAAAACAATGTGTAGCATACGCACACATCACCAACCATGCCAGAGCTCTTTGATCCTTGGTATTTGACCTTTCTGGAAAAACTTGATGTTCTAAAAAGTTCTTATTGTCATAAAACCAAGGTTTCCCATCAAGTTCTTCTTCATCAATTGTAAGGGTTTATACTTCACACCTATATGCAGGTTTAGTATCCTTATGTAAGTCAATAAGTTCAACCTCATCTTTTTCTAAAAACCTCGTAGCTGACTCCAAGCTACCAAGGCATCAGGAAAATGATTGTCTTGAAACTCTTTAGCATTTCTTGAAGGCAACTATAATAGAGGGCCAACCGAATCTTTTGCCAGATAGAGTGCTGTCAAACAAGCCACCCATTCACATGTATTGTTGGTATTAGAAAAATCTAAGCTAATGGCAAAAAGATAATGCAAGCCATTAGGATGTACAAGAATGACCCCTGCCCCCCATCCATTCAAGTTAGAGGATGCATCAAAATAAATTGTCCATCTCTTGCCTTTTTGGACTTAGATTCATCTGAGAAATCTGCCACCAAAGCATCAAAACCAGTGGAAGGGCTCCCTACCAAATAATCTGTTATAGCCTGACCTTTAATTGCCTTTTGGGTTACATATGTGATGTCAAATTTTGATATGAGCACAATCCATTTGGATATCCAGCTAGTAACTACTGGCCTTTCAAATAAATACTTCAAAGGATTCATTCTAGTTATGAAAAGAACAGGATAGGACAACAAATAGTGCCTCAGCTTTTGACAAGCCCATGTGAGAGCGAGACAGGTTTTCTCCACCATTATATAATGGTATTCACATTCATTGAGCTTTTGACTTAGGTAGTAGATGGCCCTTTCTTTCTTCCTAGTTTCATCTTGTTGCCCTAGTATACAACCCATTGAACTATCTTGAACTGAAAGGTACATTAGGAGAGGTTGACATGGTGTTGGTGGTACCAAAATAGGAGGATGTGTAAGGTAATCTTTGATTTTGTCAAAGGAAACTTGACATTGTTCATTATAGATTATAGGAATTTTCTTCTTGAGTAGCTTGAAGATGGGCTCACAAATAGGAGTCAGTTGTGCAATGAATCTACAGATGTATTGCAAACGTCCTAAGAAACTCTGAACTTTTCGCTCCGTCCTAGGTGGAGACATATCAATGATGGCTATGGCCTTGGAAGGATCTATTTCAATACCCCTTCTACTGACTATAAATCTGAGGAGTTTGCCTGGTTGTGTTCCAAAAATACATTTCTGGGGGTTAAGCCGCAATTTAAAGTGTTTGAGCCTGTCAAACAATTTGCGAAGATCCCATAGATGATCTTCCACCTTTTTGGACTTTGCTATCTTGTCATCTACATAAACCTCCAATTCCTTGTGGATCATGTCATGGAAAAGGGTAGTCATAGCTCGCTGATAAGTTGCCCCAGCATTTTTTAACCCAAAAGGCATTACCTTGTAATAGAAAACTCCCTAAGGTGTGATAAAAACAGTCTTCTCCTTATCTGACTCATCCATCTTTATCTGATTATAACACGAAAACCCATCCATGAATGAAAACATTTCATGACCAGCTGTGTCATCAATGAGGATGTCAATATTTGGCAAAGGGAAATCATCCTTAGGGATTGCCTGATTGAGATCTCAAAAATCAACACACATCCGAGTATGTGGCTACCTCTAGGAACCCAACCTTAAACTGCTTCTTGACTTCTTCTTGGATCTGAAGCAACCATTTTGAGTTAAGTTTACAGAGCTTCTGTTTGACTGGTTTTGCATCAGAATAAGTGGGAATCTTATGAACCACCAAATCAGTGTCCAAACCAGGCATATCTCTATAAGACCATGCAAAAATATCACTGTACTCATGCAATATTTTTATCAAGTCTATTTTCTGCTCATGGGGTAAGTCAGCTCCAATCAATATTTCCTTTGGCTCGCCCTTAGTACCCAAATATACGGTCTTCAGCTTTCGACTTATTTTCTTCAAGTTGCTCCACTTAATCAAGAAGCTCCTTCGAAATTCCCTCGTTAGGATCTTCTTGTTCAATTTCCATGAGAGCGAAATCTAACTCAATGTCGAAATCATATGACTCAAGTATGGATTCTTGGGAACAAGAAAGGTAGAGGAATAAGTATTGGGGGAAATAAAAATTTATTTATGATTGGAGTCGGGCTTGTGATATGGGTTGTGCTATGTACCCTCAAGAAAGAGATCAGGCCTAACCTAGTTCCGCTAGTGTCATGGAATGACCTAAAAACGACTGAAATTTGACTATTTACATAAAAAACTCTCGATATGAATAGAAGTGGGGTAGAAAGCATTGACTCCCCATTCTAGCATTACACTCAAACCTGAGAAGACGAATCAGTCTCAGTGCCAACTCCCAACACTAAGGGATAGGCGCTCCAGTAGTAACCTCTTCTGGACACGGGTAGATAAGATGTGCTGGATTGATATGATCATCTTGGTCAATTGCACAAACATTACTATTAGACAACTCTGAGAAAAGCTGGGGGTGGGATTCTTCTTCCTTTTCCAATAGCACTGCTTCAGGAACCTTGACTATAGAGCAGTCGATTGTGAAAACCAGGCCCCGATTCTCACTACTGCTGTTGCCTTTGATAATTGGGCAAGACACTAGACTCCTTCCCATACACTGACTAACCTCATCTTCAATGAAGAGAGTAGAAAGGTCAACGATTTTGGCAAGCTCAGGTTGGGTCGAAGGGATTGGGACTTGGGGAGGTTGGTTTTCAAGTAATGTTCCAGCCTTAACAAAAAGGATCAGGGTGCTCAAGGATGATGCTTTTTTCTTCCTCTTACCAAATAAATCATGTTCATCAGGTCTATACCCAAGGCCAATCCTGCATGCCGACTCCCTAGCTTTAAGAGGACTCCTTCTCCCTTGTTGTTTCTTCCCTAAACCTCCAATTGGGTTGAATTTATCTTAGCCATCATCCTTAGATGTGGGGCCAACTCCTTATTTGCTTCCTGCTCTCTTTTACCTTCTCTATTAAATTCACTTCCTCAAATTGATACGAATAGTACCTCCTCCCTTCCTCCATATGCTAGACTGAGGATTCTCCTGTAAGGGTGATTTGACTATCCCCTAAAACTATGATTAGATCATTCTCATATATGAATTTCAGCATCTGATGCAATGATGGGGAGACTGCCCCAACCATACATAGCCAAGGTTGTTGGTCGGTTCATTATATCCCTTTCCCCGAGACCTAAGGCGTATAGGGTACCTAGGGTGCACACGTTCAAACCAGATCCATTATCAATCAACACTGAGGGAATCCTCGTTACTTTACATACAACTATGATGTACAATGGTAAATTATGAGAAGTGCCATATGTGGGGATCTCATCATCAGAGAAAGTGATGGTTTTGGGGGCCAGAACCATGCTAACCATTTGTACCAACTTTTCAGGTTGAATAGTAGGAAGGACATGAGCCTTCCGAAATACTTCCATAATCTGTAAATGATGGTGTTCAGTTGTGAGAAGAAGTCCTAAAATAGATATCTGAGCGGGTACTTTCACCAATCGGTCCACCACATTATATCGGGACTTCTCAGTAGCTCTTCGAAACTCGTCTTCCTCTCTTGCTTCCTCTTCCTTTGACTTAACTTCCTCCAAAGTTTCCCACACCTTTGCTTTTTCCTTATCTGCTCTTGAGGGAACA